CGTGGCCCGCGGGGCAGCGGGGCCCTCGGCCCTGCCCGGCCCCAGCGCGGCCGCGTCTGCGTGTGCCTGCGGTGCCCGGGCTGCCGGGGGCGACGCTCTGGGGCCTCCAGGCCGGCAGAGACACCCGCAACGGAGCGCGGTGGCCCCTCTCGTTTACCCTAGTGAGGGGGATCGGCTCTCACAGCTCCACTCGTAGCTTATCGAGAGGGATCAGCCCTCACAGCACCCTCTTACCTACCGTAGCACGTGCTTAGCCACCCATAGCACGTTGGCTCTTCTCATTTACCTCAGCGTGAGGGATCCGCTCTCACAGCTCCCCTCTTACCCTAGTGCGAGGTGTCAGCTCTCACAGGAGCCCTCGCACCTTAGCATGAGGGCTCAGCGCTCACCTAGAGTGAGGTACCGGCTCTCACAGCTCCCCTCCTACCTCAGCGCGAGGGATCAGCTCTCACAGCATCAGTCCCACCTTGGCGCCCCGCCTCTGCAGAACCATCTCTGCACGTGGTGACATTGTCCTGCCCCTCAGCTTCCAGGGTGGAAATACTAACGCGAGACTGACATCCCTAAAATGGATGTGCAGTTCTATATAGGCTCTTTTAAGGCAATAAGTCACCAAGACAAGATAGCATTTTTCTGTMGTACTGCAGGCGAGCCTTTTTAAAAAGTCATTGCTCCTGAATGTAAGAAAATAACTCCCTGCAGTGATTCTTAACCTCAAAGGAAAGAAAGCTATGGATGAGTCTAGTAACTAGTAACTGTACACCTGTGATTTCCATATTCCCACTATTATAAACGAAATTACTCTGACAAAGGTTAGAGTAATACAATACATGGCGCTGTATGACAGAGCCACGCAAGGAGGGCACCCTACAAGAGGAACAGCAAACTTTCAATCCTACTTAGCCTGTTTTCAAAAAAGAGCAGCTAAAAGTGACTTCCTCAATGACTTTACTGAACTTTCAAAAAGCTGTTAATCTAGTCCCTTCCTAAAATACTGTAGGGAAAATGGCTACTTTATGTTTGGAACAGAACCACAACATGCAATTGCAAAAAGATTGTGGGAAGTCCTGTGAGAAATGTGGCTGGGGCAAACTCCAAAGAGCTCCATGTCTTTTGCCACTTCAGTGGAAGGACATCAGAGGCAGATTTAACAGGTCAAGAGATTTGGGAGAGCAAATGAACAGCCGGGTGCCTGGTATGGAAGGCTGCAATAATACAACCATATAAGGTCATACCAAAGGTCCATGCAGTCCAAAATCCTATCTCCTACATGAAYGTCTAAAGAACAGGGGAAGCGTATACTATAGACTAAAATGCTGTCAACTTCCTATAGTTTCCACTTCAGAGAACTTCCAGAGCTGGATATGATTTTTAGTGTATAGTAATCTTTATTGGGTTTCTTTTCTATGTTTATCCTTCAGACCTAATTAAGCTTCTCACACTTGCAGATTCCTTGGTAATGAAGAACCTAGGCGTTGCACAGACCTGTAGCCTGTTGTATCAAGCATCTTTCTATTTGTTTTGAATATTGCTCACACATTCTTTATTTATTGTGCCCTACACCTTGTGCTAGAGGGGACAGTGGGCAGTTGATTTTTATCCACCTTTGTTACCCCGTGTGTGATTTCTAGATTTCCATCATATCCCTCTCAGTCATTTCTTTTCAAGTCTGAAAAGTCACAGCCTACTCAATTATTACTTGCAAGAAAGCTGTTCCGCATCTCTGATCATCTTTATTGCTCCTCTCTGAGCTGTTTCCAATTTTATGGAGGGCATCTTTGCACAGGATGCAACACAGGGCTGAGCAGTGGATTTGTGCAGTTCTGTAACGATGAAATGCTCTTTTTGACCAGTTTTCTGTTTCCTTCTTAATAATTCTATCTATGTGCTTCCTTTCTGACTGCCGTTGAGCATCTAGTGACATTTTGGGGGGCTTCTCTACCATAACACAGATCTTACTCATGAATTGGAATGCTGAACACAGAGCCATTTATATAGGAAATTGGAATTGCTTTTCCTAATATTCATTACTTTGTTTATCAACATTGATGTTCACCTACCACTTCACTGTGCAGTTGCTCAATCTCATAAGGCCCTTCTTAAATTCCTCACAGTCGAGCCTTACTTAAACTACCCCAAATAACATATCACCACCTACAAAACAGTAATCTATGAGAATCAGTGGTTTGGTGAAGAGAGATTCTAGTTGATGTTTATAGCAAACATGGCACATAGCATTGCCAAAACCCACAAACGTCCCTAGGATACACTGGCCTGAGCAATAGATAAGGCAAGGAAGATGATTAGCAGTTGGGTCTCTCACATATGTCCACTAAGGCTATGTGCATTACCATGGCCTTTGAGAGACAACTCAGGGTTTTTTTTTCCTTTACTGTGACCCAAAAGAAACTCTACACCAAAAAGCTCTGACCACGAAAGCCGACACAGTTCTGGCTCATAAGATGCTGTCAGAATCCTACCAAATATGACAGAGTGCAAATTATCTTTTGATTTTGTACAGTGATAAGCAGCTACTCTCAAGGTGATCAGAGCTTTTTTGTTTTTCTGTTATACTGGATAAAGCAGTGTGTTTTAGTTGCCTTGACACATCCTCTCAGCTTCCAGCCTATTTTGGTAAATAATAGCCCCATATAATCTAATARTGAATTTGCTTGTTCCTTAGTGACTACTAAGGRAAAAAAAAAGAAAAAAAGGAAAAAAAAAGCCCTCTTTTTAGTGTTGCTTCCTTATAATAGCTTCTAGATGTCCAAAAGAAAATTAGCACTTGGGTGCTAAGTTGTGAGCATACCTATAATAAGAGGCAATTTTGCCCCTAAAGGAGTTACTGTTTAATAGACAAGACAAAGGATGAGCAAAAGAAAACAGCGTCTTAATTTCACACTTGGGAAGCGCAGGCAGAGCAGCACTGAACTGCTGTGCTAATAGTTSAGGCAGATCTCAGGCAAGGCAAACAGGGGCCATTTCCCTCATTTGCAGCCTTCATGAGAAACACAACACGCTTTTCTTCACCGTAGCAATTTTTTATTTGGGAGTATATACTAGACTATTATCTCTAGGCTTGTAGAATAATGCAACTGAATCATTTGTTTTGTTCTACAGCTGCACAACCAGGTGAATTACAAACCATGAAGATAAATTGCTGCCATCCCACAACATTTGGCTAGAAAACGAGTACACCTGGCATCTCTTAGGAAAAGCAACTCACTGTGACAACACGGTCACGAGTCAAGACAGAGGCTTCAGAGAGGCCATCAGGGTGACTTGGTACCAACACRACAGACTCCATCATTCTCTCTTGTCCTCCAACCTCAAAAGACAACATAGAAGTCTCAGGGAAAAAAACTGCAAAAATGCTTTTGATAAATGTTCTTAAATAAATATATTTTATTTATATTTAAAAATTTATGTATAAAAGGATCATTACAATGTCATAGTGGGAAATTTTTCCACAAGAAAAAAAAAAAAGAAAATAATACAATACCATCATTTCATATTGGTAAATTGCTTAACACTTAAACATCTTCATAAACAAGACTATGAGGTAAACGAGTACCTATTGCTACTATTTTTCTAAGATGGACTGGAAACAGAGTGGATTTTCCAAAGCAACAGAGGGAATAAATGAAGGAAAGGTGATTTATATTTGGGAATTTTGATTCTAAAGGCCTTCAAATGGCCCTCCCTTCCATCAGAGAGACACYGCGCTGGTTGGAAGGTGATGCAATCTGTGTTCCTGGCTGAGATGTCCTACTCRTGTGCAAAACAGGAATATAGATAAATCCTACTACTAAATCTTGGGTTGCTCCTCTTAGCAGCTGTGGCCAAGATGACATTTTCCTACGAAGCGACCAGAAGAGTGACCACTTTTCTCTAAAAATCAACTGTCTTTGACTTTCCTCACCCTTTGATAGGCTCTTCATGGGGCACACAAATAAAAAAATTATATACAGACCCCAGTCATTAAGTGAATTTTCCATGAACATCACTTGACTAGCCTTTCATGCAGGAAATTTCCATGGAATTGATTTCAACATATAAGAACCCTTGCATGTTCTGGTTATTGCAAGGACTCTGCTCATAAAAGTCTTGCAGGGACTAAGCTTAACTTTAAGGGCAGAGCAGGGATTTTTGGTGGGAGGTCACAGCTGCTGCAGTGCAGAGCAGGCAGGAAGAGTCAAGTTTTCCTCACACTTTTGGCTAGGCTAGAGGATGGGCTGAGGGTTGGGGAAGGGTGGCTTGGCAAGGACAGYGACTGGAATGGAGGAGATGGTGGAAGAGCTTTACATTTTACCAGGTGATTGCAGTGAGAAATTTAGTCACACAAGAGCTCAAAGGGCACACGGTAGCCACATAGTTACATTTATAGATAAAAAGAAAAAAAATGCTAATAAATATTTCCCCTGATCAGGGTTTCCTCTTAGGAACATGTATGAACCCAGCTCACAACGTGAACCGTCTCTCCAGTACATAYGGTGCATAAAGGGGGGCTTCCTCACATGACTTCATATTAATTACCTACAAACAGTCATACAAAGAAAACCTTGATCCACTCGTGCTCCTTACAGCCGTAATTAGCATTTTGGTTTCAGAAGCTGTGAGTGACACGGCTTCTTGGAATTCATTACTCAGCCTCCCTGCATAATGTATGGAAACGCACTGCTAATACGTCAGAGCACGGAGCGCCCTGCCGCAGCACCCGGGCACCTGGTAACTGCTTGCAGCTTCCCAAGGGATTCTCCTGCACTGCACRTGGGCCACGGACAACGGCCGACGGGTCACC